ATGAATTGGGTTGCGAACCACAAGGTCAGCAGTTCGAAACTACCAGCTGTTCCATGGGAGAAAGATGAGGCTTTCTGCTCCCGTAAAGATTTACAACCTCGGAAACCCTGTACAGGGTCGCTATGAGTCGGAACCCACTCCACGTCACATAACAACAACAACTCCACAAGGGTGATCTTACTAAGGAGGTGCCTCTTGCCCTGGGAACATGTTTATTTTGAAATAACTATAAGCCCCAAAAGTATTTTAAAAGTATTTTTATAGAATCGGTCTGATTACAGAAAATTGTTATAATACTTGGCAATAGAGTAAATTAGAGGGAGAAAAGGGCCTAGAAGCGGAAAATGTAAATAGAAATCAGCTTCCTTGGAGAGCTTACTCTCAAACTCGGTTGATGGGAGTATAAAGTGGTTATTAGCAAGATGGCGAAGCAACAGTACACAGGAAAGTTTTAAAAAACATTAATCCCTGAGGTGCTGGGCCTTGGGAGATACCAGGGTCCACAGCACAGCACCAGGCCAAACCATGAATCCAACCGCCTTGACATTTAACAACGATCCTAGTAAAAACGGGAATACAAAGTGTGGGCTGTGATCAATACCTTTCAGGTGGCCTATAATATGAGTGGGTCAGTGTAAGTGTGGCTCCTGGACTGTGGGTTCTGTCCATGCATAAGTCCTGGGAGGGCCCCCAAGGATTCTTTCAGCCTCGTCTGGCCAAGACTAGGTTAGTGGCCCCCAAGATGGCGGTCAACAGCCGCAGCCGAGCGCTTCCGAACGTTCCCGAGCGAGTCCGGGCGATTCCGAAATCGAGAGGAGCCCCGCCCAAACGACAGGCCTCCATGGCTCGCCTCGCGGCTGCAGCCGAAAACTACCGAACGTTTCCGGGTGCCCCCGAAGCCCAGAGGAGCCCCCGGGAGCCGCGAGGGAGGGAGGGTGCTGCCCCGCCCCGGAGCCTGGGAGCGGCGGTGCCGGCGCGGGGGAGGGGAGGCCGGATGTGAGTGGAGCGGCCATTTCCTGTTTCTCTGCAGTTTTCCTCCAGCTTTTTGGGTGGTGGCTACCGCTGGGCTCCGGCTCGCAGTCCGCTGAGCGCGAGGCGGCGTGGACAGCGGCCCCGGCACCCCGCCGCCCGCAGACGCGTGCCCGCCCACCCGCCGCGCCCTGTGCTCTCAGCTTCTCGCTTCATCGCGCGGCCGCCGTCGCCTCCCCGCGAGTGGCCCAGATGCAGGCCATCAAGTGTGTGGTGGTGGGAGACGGGTGAGTGCGGCGGGCCGGGTTGGGTTGGGTTGGGATGGGACACCGCGTGCGGGTTCGGGTTCGGGCGGGGATCGGGCCTGACCAGAGGGCCAGGAGCCGCGGACTCGCGTAGGGGCCGGTCCCGACCTCCCCTCTCCGGGCTGGACGGCGGCGTGCGGGCCCCCCTTCCCTTCTCCCCGGGACCCGGCGGCGCGGGCCTGGTTCCGCCTTTTTCGTAAGTGGGGGAGGGAGTGAGCGCGGCCAGAGGGAAAGTGAACTCCACCCTTCGGTTCCTGCCCTGCGCCCGAGGGTTCGGAGCCGTAGACCGCCAGTCGGACCCTCTTCTGCTCCATCGGGGATGGTTTTAGACTCTCCTTTAAAAAAAAAAAAAAGAACCTCTCTTCCTTGATTTTTAAAATGGGACCCCTTCGTCCCCCAGTCACCCTTACGGAACGCTTTCGTGGGTAACGGTGGGTAAGTTTAAAATGTTGGATGTATGTTTTTCTGGGTGGACTTGGCGACCCTAAACTTATCGTAGGATCGGGTTTCTTCGATTTGCAAGTTGGGCACTTACCGGGTTTTGAAATGGTGATTTTTTTGTTATCTGTTAGTGAAACTTTTAGGAAATCATAGATGGTTTCAATTTGATGATGAGAATATGCACGGCCGAACATTTAAGCCAATTCATCAATTTCTACACGTACCATTCAGTGACATGGATAGCTTTCCCACCCTCCTTTTCCGAGTACTCCCTATCCTGTTCACATCAACTTACACTGCCGCCCTTCTCCTTCGCCTTCCCCGCCCCCCCAAAGGTTCTTATCAAAAGTTTTTTGAGTTTCGGTTGTCAGTTAGATTTCTAGGAGAAATTATGAAAACTCCTGTTGTTGCTGTTGCATATGGTGCGGTCTCTCTCCCCCACCCCCCAATTGACTTTTACTTAATGCTTTAGGTATGGGGTGTCCCAGAACAGGGTCCCTAAACTGAGCTACCCTGTAACTCAAGTCATTTCTTTTCATTGCTGTCTGTGGGGGTTCCAGAGGAATACAAGACTTGTCTTATGCAGTTTTTTTTTCTTCCCTTAGAAACAAGAATCTCAGTGTAATCCGAGCAAAGTTAGGCGTTTCATTATTGCTTGTGTAGTTTGCCTTTCTTTAACAAGTAAGCGCAAAGAATTTCTACCAGTTTTATCACATTCAGATATGCAACTGGTCCATTCTCAAATGTGTAAAGTCGAAAGAAGAGTTAAGCTTTGCTGAGCGTTCTGATTCCTGTTCTCTAAACTTGTTATTAGTACTGATTGGGCTTTTATTCTCTAAATTAAGTTATGAGTTCTGGACTTGTTTGAATCGCTGCCAGTTTGACATTTGGAATGATGTATGGAACTATTGCAGATCCAGGAGAAACATGAAGACAGTCGATTTTTTAAGATATCATCTGACTGATTTATCAGATTTTCACATGGTGGTTCCATGGGTATTAACAAAAAATCGGACATTTCTCACACATAGGCAAGAGTATCAGGGACCTTCAAAAAATTCATGGAAAAATGGAATTGAAAGAAAATGGATTTTTTTCATCAACCTTTAGAAGTCCTAGCTTTTTTGGTATTTTCCCCTTAACCTTTAAAAAGAAAACTTTAAGGCCTCAGGGTAGCACAAACAATTTGTACTCTGCTGCTAACTTTAAGATTGACAGTTCTAACCCACTCAGAGGTGGGAGAAAGGAGAAGTGATCTGTTTCTGTAACTATTCCAGCCAAGAAAGCCCTAAGGAGCAGTTCTCCTCTGTAACACATGGGCTGCTCTGAGTCTGAGTTCACTGTATAGCACCTGGTTTGATTTTAGTTTACAGGAAAGCTTTACTTTCTGTCAATTCACTTAATTAGTTTAAGCATGAAATCAATAGATTCATTTAAATGAGTTGTAATCCTTCTGTATACTGAATTAACTAACTCACTTTTTCTTAGGAACATTTTTAATTATCTGAATTTCCTTCAGAAGTTAGAAGTGTTAAATCAGTCATGCCTAGAATATGAAACAGTACGTTCTTATTTTTTAAATTGATCAATTGCTAATAATATCATACTCAACTGTAGAATGCAATGTCTTAAATTTTCCAAAGTGAAAACATTGAAGCACTAGCAGATAAGTTTAGTTATCTAATACTAACTGATTATGAATCTATTTGTATTGACTTTCATTTAATCAAATACATGTTGAATGCCTACCCTGAGATGTAACTCCTCCCTTCAAATCCCCACCCACCACTTAACTTATGGGGTGACTTGAGCAAATCTCCAATCCCCTAAGAGGTGTCTCCAGGTGAAGCCTGGAGGCTTAGACAAGATGCTGTGTGGTACATGCCTCCTAGGTGCCTGGCTCCTGGGTGAGTGCTTAGAAATGCTTGCTTCCTTTGTCATTATTAATGTTGCTTCTGCTACTATGCAGCACCCCTAGACTCTAAGAGGGAGTGTTTGTCATAAAAGATGTTGATGAAGGCTAAGCAAAGTTAGAACTGAAATTAGAGATGGTGAGAGCCTTAGGGTGGCACTGCAGGTCCCTTTGAACCAAAAGGTTGGTAGTTCAAACCCACCAGTCACTCCTTGGAAACCCTATTCAGGACCACTGTGAGTTGGAACCAATTCCACAGCACTTAACAACAACAATAAGAGCCCTCGTGACTCAGCGAGTTAAATGTTTTACTGTTAGCTGAAAGTTTGGCAGTTTGAGCCCACCCACCAACCACTCCACAAGAGAAAGATGAGGCAGCCTTGTCATTAAGATTGACAGCTTTGGAAGCCCTCCCAGAGCAGTTCTGTTGTGTCTTAGAGGGTCTCTATGAGTCCGAATTGGCTCAATGGCAGTGGGTTAAGTAAGTAGTAAATACAACTCCAGTTAGAAATCTAGACGGATGGTTTTTCATCCTAAAAATACTTTTCAGCTTTTAACAATAAAATATATTCCTAATGATATAGTTGGAATGTTCTTTTATTCAGAAACACTTAGAGCTGTAAGAATGGGTCTAAATTTTGAGGGGCTAAGAAGTTAACATTGTGGAATTTCAAGCAATTTGAGGGCTAGGTAAGTGGTAGAGGCAAACTGAAGCTTGCTTGTTTTAGAATGTTGAGACAATAGGGATATATCCTCTATTATATATCCCTGTTGTCTGCTGCCAACAAGTTGGTTCCAACTCATAGTGACCCACCCTGTATAGGGTTCCAAGGAATGGCTGGTGAATTTGAACTGCCAACCCTGCCGTTCAAATGACCTTGCAGTCCAGTGCATTATCCCACAGCACTACACCAGGACTCCTAACTAGTATTGTTGTTAAGTGCTGTTAAGTCTGTTCCAGCCCATAGGGACCCCTGTATAGGGTTTCCAAGGAGCATCTGGTGAGTTTGAACTGCTGACCTTGTGGTTAAAACCGACTTTGTAGTCCAGTGCATTAACCCACAGAACTAGTGGTGGTGTTGTTACGTGCTGTCAAGTCGGTTCTGATTCATAGTCACCCTGTACAGGGTTTCCAAAGGAGCTTCTGGTGAGATTGAATTGCTAACCTTGCTAATTCAAGTTGACTTGGCAGTTCAGTGCATTAACCCTCAGAGCCACACCAGGACTCTTAACTAGTATTGTTGTTGTTGTTGTTGTTAAGTGCTGTGGAGTCAGTTCTGACCCATAGTGACCCTGTACATGGTTTCCGAGGCTATAAATCTTTATGGGAGCAGAAAGCCTCATCTTTCTCCTGCGGA